GAATTACAGAGAGAGACCAAAAGAGCCGGGATAGCTTAGTTGAAGTAGCGATGGATTTTGGCTGGGCGGCCGGAGTTCGATTTCAGGTAAGGTTAAGAAATTTTCTCCACAGATTCCAGGCCGATTCTGGGGCCCATTCAGCCCTTGGTATCCCCAGAGGTAAAGCGGCCAGGCCTGAAGCTGAGCAGTCACTTCCATCTAATACCACTGTAGAGCCTTTAATCAAAATCTATAATGGTATTACTTTTCCTGAAATAGAACCTCTCTATATGAACTTTGTGTGTTCTTTGTTTTCTCACTGCCAGTCTTTCCCTAAACTTTCTATTTGGCATAGGAAAAATTGCCTGATCAGTGGAGGGAGTCTATAATTTTACCAGTTCACAAGAAGGGTGATAAAACTGACTGTAGTAAATATCGAGGGAAATCACTGTTATCAACTTCATATAAAATTTTGTCCAATATTCTTCATTCAAGGTTAAGTCCATATATATATATATGAAATTATTTAGGATCATCAGTGTGGGTTTCGACGTAATATATCAACTACATATCTGATCTTATGCATTCGTCAGATATTGGAGGAAAAATTGGATTACGATGAGACATTACATCAGTTGTTCATAGACTTCAAGAAAGCCTATGATTCAGCTAGGAGGGAGGTACAAGTATTGTATAATATTCTAATAGAGTTTGGGATACCCATGAAAGTAGTTAGGCTGATTAATATGTGTTTAAACGAAACATATAGTATAGTCCGTGTAGGTAAACATTTGTCTGATAAATTTCCTATCCAGAATGGTCTAAAACAAGGAGATGCTTTATTGCCACTCCTTTTCAACTTTGCTTTAGAATATACCACTAGGAAGGCTCAGGAAAACCAGGTGGGACCGATATTAAAAGGTACACATCAGCTGTTGGTCTATGCCGATGACGTGAATCTGCTGAGTGATAATAGAGATACCGTAAAGGAAAACACACAAACTTTAATTGACGAAAGTAAGGAGGTTGGTCTAGAAGTAAACAGAGAAAACTAAGTATATGTCACTGTCTCGTCACCAAAAGAAGGGCAAATTCATGACATAAAGATAGGGAACAGATGTTTGGAAAATGTGGCACAGATCAGATATTTAGAAAAACGATAACAGATCGAAACCTGATTTAGGAGCAAATTAAGGGACGATTAAACTCGGGTAATGCTTGCTACAATTCAGTCCAGAACCATTTGTCTTCTCGTCTGTTATTCAAAAACATAAAAATTAGAATATAAAAATCTATAATTTTGCCTGCGGTTCTGTATGGGTGTGAAACTTGGTCTCTGACATTAAGGGAGGAACATAGACTGAAAGTGTTTGAGAACAGGAAGTTGAGGAGACTATTAGGACCGAAGAGAGATGAAGTGATAGGAGGTTGGAGAAAAAGGCATAATGAGGAACTTCGTAACTTGTACTCTTCTCCAAATATAATTTGAATGATCAATTCAAGGAGTATGAGGTGGGCAGGTCATGTAGCACGAATGGCGGAGACTAGGAACGCGTATAGGATATTGGTGGGAACCTTTAAGAGACGAACCTTTAAATTCCGTTAATGGCTGCTGGACTGATTTAATTTAAATGCCCGCGATTATAAAGCAATAAAAACTGTAATCATTTACTTAAATTGCTGTGATTTCTACAATTTTTGTGATTAACGAACCAAATAAACGCTGCTTTTTTCTAGAAAGAATATAGAATCAGATATTATAATTTACAGACTTTATAAATGTGTAAAATTTTTTACACTGATTCCAAGTAAAAATTCCCCAATTTGTAGTCTGTCTACAAGAATTCATACAGTTCTAACAAGTATGAATGCGGCTTATGTGGCAACACAGCGGATGCTTAGCTAGCGGTTGTTTAGGCTAGCGTGTCTCAATGTTCATTCACGTACGTTCTTTCGGTATGCAGAGATGTGGGCGAGTCTGTATTCGTTCATAAGAACCCTGATTGTTTTTTATCGCTTCTAGCTACACAACAAGTTCTCTGTTTTAACACTGCTGGGCTGGTGTATTAGAACTTTCAAGGTTAGCGTCTTTCGGTATGCAGAGATGTGGGCGAGTCTGTATTCGTTCATAAGAACCCTGATTGTTTTTTATCGCTTCTAGCTACACAACAAGTTCTCTGTTTTAACACTGCTGGGCTGGTGTATTAGAACTTTCAAGGTTAGCGTCCTTATAAAACAGCCAACCGCGTCAAAACATTCAAGGTTAGCATTCTGTGAAGTTGTGAACCAAACATTGCGTCGTCCCGTTTGGAAGACTCGGACATATTTCAGCTCATAAATGACTCTGAATCAGATTGTTGTACCGACAATTCTGAGAGTGGCGTTGAGGAAAGTAAATAAGAAATTGATTTCGACGAAGAACTATCATTTTGGTTGGAAACCTGGGGACCACCACACCAGCATGGCAAGAGGAGTGTGAATAATTATTCAGACGAAGCTGTGGGCAAACTGTGGCAAACAGTCATAGGATCTGTCTTCGAACCTGGAAATGGGCAAATAAACTATTTTTCTATCTCCTGGATCTGAACACATACATCCTGTTGTCACACAGAGAACTTCGTCTCGCTCTTGTGCGGAACATGCTGGAAGGTGTCCACCTCGTCCTCAACGGCCCAGGGGTCGAACCCCTGCCATTTCATTGGAGATATCTCGATTAGAGGAGGCCAAACCACATCACTGGCCGACTTCCTCTACTTCGCAATTGAGGTGTCGTGTGTGCTTTTCGCGTGGGAAACGAAGAACCGTCCGGACAAAGTGCGTGAAGTATGACGTCGGACTCTGCATTTCCGGATGTTTCCAAGAATTCCACACGAAGCCAACATTCCGTTAAATGACGCAGATGGGAAGACAGACAACTTATAAAGCTGGTATCCAAAAATCATGTAAGTAGAACAAGAATTTATATCTCAAAATTAGATTTTAAAAAGCTGTGCACACGAGTGGACTGCGCAATCACATGTGTGGTCATTCGTCCGCTTGACTTTCTTTTTGTGTCCACGTATGTAGTCATTAGGCTTTAAAAGGCCTGATATTAAGGGAGGACCATAGACTGAGAGTGTTTGAGAACAGGGAGTTGAGGAGAATATTAGGACCGAAGAGAGATGAAGTGATAGGAGGTTGGAGAAAACTGCATAATGAGGAGCTTCATAACTTGTACTCTTCTCCAAGTATAATTAGAATGATAAAGTCAAGGAGTATGAGGTGGGAAGGTCATGTAGCACGAATGGGGGAGACTAGGAACGCGTATAGGATATTGGTGGGAAACCCAGTAGGAAAGAAAACCACATAGAAGACCAAGGCGTTTGTGGGTGGACAATATTAGAATAGAGAGACAATATTAGAGAGATAGGAGGGGATGGAACGGATTGGATAGAACTGGCTGAGGATATGGACCAGTGGAAGGCTGTTGTGAACATGGAAATGAACCTTCGGATTCGATAAAATGCTGGAAAATTCTTGAGTTGCTGCAGAATTGGCGGCTCCTCCAGAAGGGCTCAGCTACATGATTAAGTAAGTAAAGAAAGAAAGTCGTCTTGTGGGATCTGGCGCCGTGTATTCTTGGTTTTAACCGACGTTTCGGAGGAACATATCGCCTCCATCTTCAGGGTAGTTGAGTTGCGTGCGAATAGAGATAGCAGTAGCAGCAATGATTGGGAAGTGAAAAGTGCTGATTTATATATGAAATAGGCAAGGGGTTTTGGGAGGTGGGAACAGTGGGAAGAATGAGCAGCGATTAAGTCCATATATGGTCTGGGGGGGCGATAGGGGGGATATCGGTCAGTGAATCCAGGCAACTTTTAGGTCAATGGCACGGAGGTGGCGGTTAAACAAGAAAAACCGGTTGGCTGGGGACAGGTTATTGACGTCAATGACATGAACTGGGGACAAGTTACTGACGTCAATGACATGAAGAAGGAATTGGGTGGTTTTGTGGAGTTCTCTTGAAGGTAGAGATGAGAGGTTTCCATGATTTGTTGAGATCAAACCCTTTTTCCTTGTCCATGTTGTTCGGATGGAGCTCGATCTCAGTGGCCTCCATGATGATTCGATCCAGGTAACGGCTCTTACAGGCGAGTATGGCGGTTTCTTTGAAACTGGATACGATGGTCTAGCTCGATGCTGTGTTCAGCTACGGCTGACTTGTCCGGATGTTCCAGGCATAGATGCCGTTGATGTTCTTTCAACCTGGTGCCCACAGAACGGCCTCTTTGCCCAATGTAGGCCTTGCCGCACTCGCAGGGGATTCTGTAAATTCCCGGTGTCCTGAGTGCCAGGTGGTCCTTGACAGGCCTTGGGGGAAATTAGATATTGTGACATGTTGACCCCTACCTCCCCAGCGGAACGTAGCGGTAAAGTAGCGCTCGCGTAATAGGCGAATCATCACCTCGCCACTCTCCCCGCGGTGACGTCACGAGCGGAGCCGAAGTGAGTTGTACTGTGACAGCCACCGAGTTGTAAAGTAACAGTCGCCGAGGAGAGTTGGAATGTGGGCAGCCGCCGAGTTATAACGTGGCCATCGCCGAAGATAGTTCAGAGCAAGTCTACGAGAGTGTGTTATCAAGAGTTCTCCAGTCAGCCGACTACAGTTGGAGTATAGCAGCCGTCGCGGGAAGAAGATCCGGACGTGTGTGTGATTGTGTAATTGGGAGTGTGACACAGCGATACATAGCTCCCCTACTGTAAACGTGGTGTAGACCACTGAAGACAGAGTGAACTGATTTGCGCATAGGGTTATAAATCGTGAAACCCCGCAACAGTGTTAACAGATTAATGCGATTAGGGTTATAAAGTGTGAAACCCCGCAACTGTGTGATAAGTAATTGTAGCCGTTATTTGTAGATTGTTAAATAAACCAATTAACCATCTCTACGGCGTCTTCAGTAACGAAACACGTTACATTGGTGTCAGAAATGGGATTTGGACTTACACACGTGATCAACGGGATTCGAACTCAAGACACGTTACAATATCTTCTTAGGAGGCAGGCCAACTGATGTGATCTTGTGTCGGGACAGCACTCTGCTAATCTTGTTGAATATAGTCCCGATAAAAGGCAAGAAGGCGACAGTGTCTCTGCGGTCATCATGTTGATTGTGTTTGGGACGACGGTTGAGGGCCCTGTGGATCTGCCGGTCGTTATAACCATTCCATCTGAGGGTGTCCTTCAGGAACTCCAACTCTCCACGCAGGCTGTCTTGATCGCACCGAGTTCTGGCCCTGTGTACCAGTGTGGAAAGAGCTGCCGCTTTACTTGAAGGGTGATGATGGGACCTGGCATTGAGATATAGGTTGATGTGTGTGGGTTTACGGTACACTCTATGGTCTAGAGAGCCGTTGGGTCTTCTGTAAATATCTATGTCGAGGAAGGGAAGGTGGCCTTCATTTTCGGTTTCCATAGTGAACTGAATGCTTTGGTGGATACTATTTAAATGGTTTAGGAAATCCCTCGGCTTGTCAGGTCCGTGGGGCCAGACGAAGAAGGTGTCGTCCATATAGCGAAATCAGCATAGGGGCTTGTGTGGAGCCAAGTCAAGCGCCTTCCCTTCAAAGTTCTTCATGTAGAAGTTAGCGATGAGCGGAAATAGTGGAGAGCCCATGGCTACACCGTCAGTCTGTTCGTAGAACTGGCCAGCAAAGTTGAAGTAGGATGTGGTTAGGACGTGGCGAAAGAGTCTCAAGACATATTCAGCGAAGTTTTCTCCTAGCAGATCTATAGTGTCCTTGATGGGCACCTTGGTGAAAAGCGACACCACGTCGAAGCTAACCATTATATCATAAGGATTTAATCGGAAGGATTTTAAGGTGTGAACAAATTCGTCAGAATTTTTCACGTGGTGTGGGGAGTCACAGGTGTAGGAGTTAAGTAGGCCAGCTAAATGTTTGGCCAAGCGATATGTGGGAGAGCCAATGGTGCTGATAATGGACCTTAATGGTACGTCACGTTTGTGGATCTTGGGCAACCCATAGAGTATCGGTGGTCTGGAACATTGTGGTCGTGGTTGTTGGCAGGTCTCTTCAGCGAACGAGGACTTCTTTAGGAGAAGCAACGTCTTGCGCTCTAAGGAGTCAGTGGGATACTTCTTCAGCTTCCTGTAGGTCTTGCCTTCTAGGAGAGCAGCAATCTTCTGGTTGTAGTCAGAAGTCGCCAGAACCACGGCTGCCTTACCTTAGTCGGCCGGAAGGACCGTGAGCGTCCCGTTGGATTTTAACGCTCGGAGAGCCCTCCTCTCGGCACCAGTGAGGTTGTCCTTGGGTTTGTTGGAGCCCTTGAGGATCCTAACTGTCTCCTGTCGAATTTCCTCTGTAGTCTCTTCAGGTACGGCCATTACAGCCTTTTCAACCCCGCACAGGATGTCCTTAACTGGGATAGAACCAGGGGCTACAGCAAAGTTCAGGCCCTTGCTCAGAAGAGAGTAAGCCGCTTCTTCCAAATGTACAGTACTTAGATTGACCACAGTCTTACTCTCATCATGAAGTTGGGGTGGATGTTGTGTCTTGTGCAAGTTGATGAACTTCTTGCACTGTCTGGTTGTAGCCCCGTCATCGATATTAACAGCTTTCTGGGTCGTGGTGCGGTCGATTAGGTCCCAGTCAGCTGCGGACAGGACTTGGGTTAAGCGAAGATGTAACTTAATCAACTCTTTGGAGACAGCGTCCAGTTCTCGGCTTGTGTAGTGGATGCGTTCACGTAGCATAGAGAAGCTGGTGCGTCTGTAGATCCTTTTGGCAGCGTCAGAATTTATTTGTTTTTGGGACTGAAGGAAACGAGGTATGATGTCATGGTATCTGTATCTAAGGAGGAAGTGAAGGGTGCACAGTAGCTTGTACTTCTTGGTGCGCAGCGTCTCGAGTCTACGAATATATCGATGAGTAGCCTCCCCATAGAGGAACACTATGTAAGTTTTGAGGTTTTCACGGCGATGACTATGAAGAAAGTCGTCTTATGGGATCTGGCGCCGTGTATTCTTCATTTTAACCGACGTTTCGGAGGAACATATCGCCTCCATTTTCAGGGTAGTTGAGTTGCGTGCCAATAGAGATAATAATAGAGCAATGATTGGGAAGTGAAAAGTGCTGGTTTATATATGAAATAGGCAGGGGGTTTTAAGGGATGGGACCTAAGGGAAGAATAAACAGCGATTAAGTCCAACTACCCTGAAGATGGAGGCGATACGTTTCTCCGAAACGCCGGTTAAAACAAAGAATACATGGCGCCAGATCCCAGAAGACGACTTTCTTCAAAAATCATCGCCGTGAAAACCTCAAAACTTACAAGTAAGTAAAGGCATTACTTCTTTCATCGACGGAGGACTCAGAAGTTGTATCTGTTTTTGAACCTAATAATGCAGGTTTGAAGAAACTGTTCCAAGTTTTGTCTCAACAGAGAAGTGACTCATCTGCCTTCATAAATGGCGTGTCTCTTTTGAAGTATGTACTCAACTTTTAGAGAAGTTTTTTATTTCAGATTTCGATCAAGATTATCCGACACCCGGTTTATCTGTAACCAGAATACCGACGGTTTACTCTACTCCTGTCAGCACAACTCCATTACCAGTTAGCTGTCTAGGACGTCATGTTTCGCACGCATGTGCCGTCTTCTGGCATGCTTTATAATTTCAGTTATTCTGTCATGTATTTAACATAAATTTTTCATATAAACGGATTGGATCCACCTGTATTACACTGTACTTGCTGAAACAGCAGTGGGTTGCTTAATATTGTTGCTATTTTGCTGACGTTACATTTATTGTAGGGTGTAGAGCCGGTACTATGCAAAGACCGATACACAAGCAAATATACCAGAGCCGTTTTTAGGCAACAGATCTGTAAACACGTTCCCGCTGCAATGGATACACTTTCAACAACAACAACAACAACAACAATAACAATAACAACGATAGAGGTACTATTGGAAACTGTGTTCTCTACTGGGGCCGTACAAAGGGGTTATAAGGAGGACAGTTGAAGCAAGACTTCCGGGAATTAAACGAACAGAAGAGGCATAATTCAAATGATACTTCACAGTCAGCCAAGAATTGGATTAAACCAGTCCCAACATCCGCAGCTGACAAACTGCCTCCAAAAGTAGTGGTAATTCGCAACTTCTTCGGACCTTTCAGAAGTACTGACATGGACACGAAGATTACCGGAGCAGGAGGCCGCCAACAGTAGTGAAGGCTTCTACCCCAATCCTCATTCGAATGCAAAGCGATTTAAAGGAACACGAGTTCCGAAAAACACGAAACGGAAAGCGTATCACAACATAAGGAATGGCGGAATATCTTACCTGGCAGTGGCGGCTTGTAGCCAAAATTAGTGGGGTGCTGCATTAGAAAATTTGTAGCCTTGTTTTAAAATTGTATGAAAGGAAACAAACGTGTATAAAAAGAAAATTTATTCAGAAACTTGATACAATCATAAAAGAACAAAATCAAATATTTTTTACTTAGTTTAACCTAAATTCTTACAGTTCAAGCTTAATCTATTCATTTAAAAATGAAATCCATTCTTCTTGTTTTAATTTGCGCGAAAAGATGAATAATTTTCTCCTTGATCTCTGGATGACAACTGAGGAAATTTTTCTCCATTGAAAGCACTGCAAGCACATTTAGTCTTCCCGAATTCATAATGCTTCTTAGAAAAGTTTTCATTCTTTTCAATGTTGAAAAGCAGCGCTCTGCTTCTGTTGTAGTCATGGGAACTGTCAAGAGGATTTTTATCGGTTTCGTAATTTCAATAAAAACATCATCTAGATTATTTTCCAAGATAAATTTCAGCAGCTCAATTAATGTGCAATATTCATGAATATCAGGCCTACAATAGAATACTTTTAGTTCAGTTTCAAGCATTTCTTTGTCAGTCATGGGATATGCTTCAGTGGTCAGTACTATCTCTTCTGTGGGATATTCATTCTTAAAACTAGTGAAGCATTTCTTGTTGAACAATTCAGCAGCTACTAAGTGTTTAGTGGAAGAATATCTGTCCATTATATCAACACATATACAGTCACTCACTTCCTTAGCTTTTGCCATGAGTGTCTTTGAAGGATTCTCACAATACTTTGAGTTTCTCAATTCTAAAATAGCAGTTTCGAAATCTGTTATATATTCATTAACTTTAAACACACTAATTTCTCGATATTCCATTTGGTTGTAAATTATTTCAACATGAGGCATAATCTGATGAAGAAGCTCTAACCACAACTTAAAATTATCATCATTCAGATATTTTAAAATTCCTGTTGATTCCGCAATGGTTTGATCTGCATTTGATGTTGACTGAATTTCAGTAAGGCAGCTTATTAAAGGTTGCAAATTTTCATGAACTCTGTTTATGGTCCGTTTGTTGAAGTTCCACCTTGTAGAAGATGGACGTGGAATGCTGACTTCCATATGCTTCTTGAGAATGGACACACGTTGCAGTGATCTTGAGAAGAATGTTGGAATAACCAGAATGTTAGAGAAAAATATTCTTGCGTTTCGTGTAATACTTGCTGCATTTCTCATTATTAGATTAAGTTGATGTGCGTAACAGTGAATGAAATGTGCATTACTATAAACTGCTTTTATTTTTATTGGAACTCCTGCTTTTTTGCCTTTCATGACATTTGAACCATCAAATGTCTGAGCTATCAGTTTTTGTCCATTTCCTTGAAGGATTATGTCCAATTGTTCTAAAATACGTTTTGACATTCCATCTGCAGTTTGATTTTCTGGAATAAATAATCCCCAAAACGCTCAAATATTTCTCTGTATTCAATACGTACCGTAGAACAAGGACCATTTGAGTGTGTTCCGAAATATCTGTTGTGTCATCAGCCATGACAGCTTCAAAGGAAGCTTTCCTAATTTCCGTCCTCATCTCCTCATGGTATATTTGTAGCAGGCAGTCAAGTATCTCATTCTGAATGGTCTTAGAAACACCTCTGAAGACTGCACTGGTTTCTAAGTGATGCTTGAAATCTGAATCTAATTTAGATGCAAAATGTACTAATCCTCTAAATACCCCTGGATTTATTGAATCGTCTTTTTCATCATGTCCACGTAAGGGAGTTTCAAAGTATACACAAAAGAAAATGCAGTCTATTATTTTGGACAAAATTTCAGATTCTTTTTAACCTTTGTATTACGCTCATTGATTGAAAATCTGTATGCCTTACTAAGTTTCTCCTTAATAAATATGGTTCCTAAAAGTGACAGTGAAACTACATTATCAACGTGCTTTGTTGTGCCTCAAGGGATTATGGTAGCCTAATCCCTCGGAACACTTGTGGATACCTCTCACGGGGTCAGGGGATATGCAGTAACAACATGTGAAATAACAAGTGAAACAATAAATGATATAATTTAATATAAAGTCTCTATGTAAATGTAGTGCACTACCTTAACCTACCCTAATACATAAAGTGATTCTGAATCTGCTACAATTCCTACGGCCGTGTAAATTGGCCTCTGTGCTTGGATTATGAAATATCTGTTGTATTATTACTCCTTCTTCTCTGAGTTACACCATGTAAAACTCTGGCAATTGCTCACAGTGACCTGAATATAGGCAAGTACTCACATCACCTCCACAGCCATAAAATGGCGCCGAACGTCGGTCCCTTCATGTCTGACACTAACACTGTTTCTAGGAGCAACTACTCCTTCACATTAAAGAGAGCTTCCCAGCACTGTCACTGGGGTTTTTATAGGGTTCCAGGGGGCCGCGCAAATATTACCCACGCGGGGATCCGCCCTGAAATAGCCTAGTCTCATTGGGTGTTCAATTCCCTCTTATCGCTTGCCCATACACAGTCACTCAGCTTGCGCGTGATTCCTTTATGCGCGCATTTTGGAATGGCTGACTGGCGGATACAGCACACACTCACTGGTATGATATCATATGGTTTCCGGTCAGTCATCCTGTTGACCATCCCATCGTCCACTGGGTTTTAAGTGTTAAAATTGATTGCCACCTACACCGTGGCATAACAGCTTCTTTGACTTCTCATGCTTTTCAGTTTTGTCTTTCATTTTGTTTATATTTCTAAGACCAATTATTGTCCACGTTACATCACCCCCAACAGCAAACACGGGAATCAAAACAGTGAATTTTTTACTTCACAGCCGGAAAGCCAACTTTTCCCTTTGTACCATTCAGAATTAGAGCTAGGAATATATTTCCTGTTCTTGCTTATGTCTAGCTGAGATATTAGAATATCAGGAGTTAAACAACCTCTTTTCTTAACTGCAACTTTCTCATGGAGAGACAGTTGTGAAGACTTAAGCTGTTGAAGTTCGCTTACAGTCACAGAACTTATTTCTAGGGGATGCAAGGCCATGGTTAAAGTTATCTGTTAAAAAAGAACAAAAAAATCAATCAAATAGAATAGCTGGAAGCAGAATAATAATCTAATTCTACAATTAATTCACATTCAAGAATATGGTGCACGGTTTTTAAGCACAACACACGCGGAGTAAAAAAAACTACCTTCCATCAGCACTTCAGGGTCGGCGCCGGTCTGCACTGCGGGAACGACAGTGCTCCCTCTCCCGTGCAGTCTCGCGGGCAGCTTCCTATGTGCGCATGCTCACAACAGACAACGGTCAACAAACACCTCGCCGCTGGAACTGTGAAGCGCACAGTTCCATACAAAGATTTGGCTACTGACATTAAGCTTAAGGATTATATATTGTATTATATATTGTAATGC